GTCAAAAGAGATTTCTCAAGGATGCTTGTCTTGAATTGGCCGGTTCGGAACTCAGCTGGAAACTGAATTACTCAGGAAGAAATTCTTGTTTTATTAAACTACTTTGTTATGATTTCTGGCCCAGTTTGGCCAATCAGAATTTAACACGTTTCTGAGTATTTACCAACATCCCTCAGAAAGCCACGCCCTCCTCAGATACAAAGATGGTTTTCACACTGTGAATGAGAATGGCTTAAAACACTTATGTGAGGTGAATCTTCACCTTAATTTGTATCTTATGAAGATGTGTATGAGTGTAGATAATGATTAACTTGTTAAATCTAACACATACTGATCATCCATCCATCCATCCATCCATTGTCTGAACCCGCTTTGTCCATGTAGGGTCGCGGGGGGGCTGGTGCCTATCTCCAGCAGTCAATGGGCAATCAGGCGGGATACACCCTGGACAGAGAGCCAGTCCATTGCAGGGCAACATAGTGATCATAAGATCTGTAATGGATCATTGTAAGTAGGGATGCAACGATACCACTTTTTTCCAAACCGATACGATACAGATACTTGGATCTGGGTACTCCCCGATACCGATTACCAATACCGATACTTCTACCACACAAAAAAGGCAATGATTTGGAATACAGATTTTATTTTCTTCTCTGCTTTTAACAGGAAAGACTCAGATTCAGAAAAGACTGTGAGGTAGATAAAAAGTAAAATATATGAATAGAAATCATCACAAAACTAAAATATTAGGTGAACAGAAATGACAAGTTACAGTGAAGCCATTTTCAAGCAACTGCATTGGTATCGGTTCCTGGTATCGGTTAACTTTTACCGATACCGAAACTGGCATTGGTATCGTATCTGTGCCGATACCAGTATCGGTATCGGCACATCCCTAATTGTAAGAGCAATATTCATTTCAACTTCATTGATTTAAGCAGATTATTCAAACATTTCATCTAAACATCTTGTTCATTCAACCATATGGTTCATTAACTTATAAGTTGTAAAGCCTTGTAGGATTCGTGTGGATTCATTTTTTTTATTTAGAGTGAGGGATCCAGCAGTCTGACTTTACGCATAGAGATAGGGGCTTTTGCAGGAGACCTTGATGGTTTATTTCTGTCTGCGTTGAAGAACAATAAGTGAGCAAAAGGTTGATTTGTGCGTCTGGATCCTCCAGCTGGTGTAACCTTGACTTTGCAGTTCTGGCGTGTATGAAAGGTTACTGCGTCAATTCGATGGTGAAAATTGACCCTTTTGATTCATAACACCGATATATTGTCCATCCCAAGTTTATAGACAAAGAGCACACCTAACTAGAAGGCATGACATTAAGAAAGCTCTTGGCATCCTAGTGCTCACAACCTATTATTGATCGCAGAGCCAAACTTTCTGTCAAGAGATAGACCTGTCCATGAAAGACACAAAAAAATGTGCCCACAGAAGGTAAGGTGTCTCAGCTGTGAGACTAAAACCAGTGACATTCATTAACTGGTTTGATTGTTGTTGTCCGCTTAGCTGGGTCTGCTTCACAGGGTTAGAAACCCTAAGGTTTTAATAATTAGTTGGCACGTGACTTTTCGTATTTCTTTTGTGCTGTTGTCTACATGTAGTTTTTATGATAATTAGGTGTTTCTATTTCCCTTTTATCAATGTAAAACCATCACTGACACAACATGTCAATAAGCCAGAATTTGACAGATTAATTTCAACCATCCCATCAATGGAATTTTTGGTCAATTGCACTTAAAGGCAGTTTGAGTCAGGTCTTTTCTCATTGGCTGCTCAGACCCTGGGCCAAACCACTGAAGCAATCACAAGAACGCCTCCGGTGACTTAACAGATTGATATTAAAGACTAATTGATGCCAGAGAGTCAACTCGTATCTAGAGATTAGATACATAAACTGTCCATATAAAGCTTTATAATTTTAGTGATTCAATAAACAAGGATTTGGGACTTAAAAACTGAGTTTACAGCAGACTTCGATAAAATGCTCATTTTAACAGATCTGGACATTTCCTTCCAATCATTGTGATTTTTAAAGACTTTTTCAAAAGGATAATTGCTCAAATATTTTGTTCAGTTATTTATAGAAATGGGGTACAAACCATTTTTCTGGCTTGCTACTGCCACTTTATTGTGACACACACTGACATGAAAGCCTCACACAGACACGCTGATAAATCACCATCCACTTGACAGTAGGTATACGGACTAGAGAGCACATTTTAAGAGCTGTGCCAGGTGGTGAAAAACAAAAGTTTATATTCCATCACATAGCTGTCTAAATGTGTCTGCAGTAAAAACAAACACTTATTTTACTTTGACCTAGTAAGTTACCCTGTGGGATCATTTTTTTTAGTTGTTTGATGTTCAAACTGAACCCATTTATGACCGTGAGATGGGAAGTTAAAGAAAGGGCAAGAATCCCATAGTAAAATCAACCAGAGCAAAAACGTAAATGTTCAAGGCTCGACTAGAATGCTAGAAACTGATCACTAACAATCTGGTAGACTCATTTACTGAACAGCTGAGTGAACAGCAAAGCTAATCACAAGGCTAACAACTTGTAGAGCAGATAAAACCCTGAACTCCCATGTCATCATCACACTGACAAAGTATTCTAGTTTAAGAATTTTGTGTATGAACGTTCACGCCATTCACACACATACACACTCTGCCGCTGCAGTAATTAGTTATGCTCCCAGGGGAATGTTGACCAAATGGCTTATATCCCTGTCTCTGGCTGCAGGAGCCGCCCCTCCCCCGTCTGCAACACTCTCAAAGGGCCGTGCGCGCCCTCCCCGTGTCTTTAAAACATGGACATCCTGAAAGGGCAACTCTCAGTCCCACACATGTGCACAACTGCCTCCCCCACAACCCCAAACAGACAGGAAAAAAAATCAGCCTGTTGTCCAAAGAAACACTGCTGATGGATGATGTTTTTTCAAATTTGTCACAGCTTTGTAGGGAAAGGCTTTTTAGTGATTTGTCAGTTTTCCAGCTGTAAAATTAGAGGTTCTTTGGCCTCAAGTCTGGGCAAAACCAAGATGTTATACTTGGGAGTAGGCAGGGAATTTGCTGAGTAGGAATAAAAGGTGGAAACTCACAAGTTCTCATCTAGTTGAGTTATGTTATGTAAACCCTGGGTCTTTGATAAAAGAGTGAGGTGTTTCACCATGAGAACTGCCTTGGCGCAGTGACGTGCGGTGAGGTTCATGACGGGGGGGGGGGGGGCACTGACTGCTCTGGAATCTGACTTACAAATCTATGATCCTGAAAAAAAAGCTTGTATCTTATTTTTGACCTTGAATGAAATATTTTGTTGTTTTAAAATGTGTTGCTTATGATTTACTTAATTCCATACTATTCAACAATACACGAATGAAAAAAGTAAAATTATGTTTATTATTTGGGCAAATTTGACTTAAATGTATTTATTGTTCTTGGTGTAGATCTACAGTTGAAAATCGTGTATGATCATACCTTTAAAAAAGTCCAGGAACCTGACATCTCCATGATCACTCTGCTGTAAAAACATCCTCCGATTTCTCCTATTCTGACTGAAAATTCTGTTTAAATAAATCATTCAGTGATTCAGAGCCATAAATCTTCAATTTAGTCAAGAGTACATTTAAACTGGTTCACCCTTAAGCCGAGCGTACACTGTGCGACTTTTTCACTTTTTTGAGCCGATTTTCCACTCATGCCAGAATCCACAAGATCGGGGCGAGTTTTGCGGTGAGCGTCGTGTAGTGTACAGGGGGTTACGAGAGGCGATTAACACCATGTGACCAGCTACCGATCAGCAATCGTGAGCTCGCACGGACTTCTGGAGTTTTTGATATTTTTCCTCGTTCCTCGTGAGGGTGTCGCACTGTTGAAGCGGCGCGGCGAGCGGCTGCGACCCAAAACGTACAGAACTTCTCATGGCGCATGCGCAATCATGCATCAACACAGCTTGCCCGCTATTTCCCTAATAACACACGTTGTTCGTTTTATTTCTACAGGTCTTTTACACACAATGACAAGGACTGTCAAGAAAGCGTGCTTGTCGTGTTCATGTCAAATTAAACTGATCACAAAAGACAGATTTACTTTCTTTATTTCGTTTTCCTCATCCAACCCCCATAAATCCCTGTGTGTCCTCCTGCAGCACTCCTGAAGGACAACAGGCAAAACAAGACAAAAAAGTCTGACGTGTTCTGTAAAAACTGCTATTTTTAGCATATTTTTAGGTCCAACGTGTTGCTAAGGGGACCACCTAAGGGAAAAAACCTGGAGTGGGCTGGGGAACACAAGGAGACACATGACGGAGACGCAGAACATGACATCCTGTAGTGGGAACGTGGCTTATGGTTACAATATATATCATTGTTTCTACTGATTTGGATCTTTTTACGACCCGGGAATGCCCGATTGTTGAACAGGTCAGCAAAGCAAATCCATCAAGCACTGAATGGGCTCTTCTTATTTACCATTACACCCTCAAGCGTTAGGCATCGTCTTTGTTTTCTGTTTAAATTACAACCATATCTGGTCTGTCAATCAAATACATACCCATCATTCAAACCATCTTAGTCTACGAAGCTTTCGACTAGCCATTCAGGTTTTATTTAACAATATTAGTCAAGTTATTAAAGAAATGCACATTTTAATAGGGTAAGTTGTCATTTAAAAGGCTTTTTGTCATATTTTAAAGAAAGAAACTAGTTATCCTTAACTCATCGTTCACTCTGTAACACTGATCCATAGTTAACACACACGTCATTTAGAAACGAGAGGATTCTGACAGTATTAAGCAGAGGTCCAACACAGTAAACCTCTGTGTTGGTGCTGATGGAAACTCTACAGGCGCTCCCTAAACCTGAATCACATTAACTCTTTTACACACACACACACACACACACACACACACACACACACACACACACACACACACACACACACACACACACACACACACACACACACACACACACTAAGCATACCTTCATTCTGGCGTTCTTCATCATTAAACACCTGAATGATGCTGAATTCCCTTGCCATCCACCTCCCCTTAAGTGTAGCGGTTTGTATGAGTTCAAACCCTCCGACGGACACTAAACAGCTGTCGTGTTTATCTCCTTCGGTCGTATTTTCCCAGGGTGTGTGTGTGTTTCCAAATGACTGACCCAGGCTTTTCCATTACCTGCTGAAGTGAATTTAGATGCAACCCGGCCAAAATTGACACCACCGTCACTGCTGCTGCTGCGACTTTTCAACCGAGTGAACAAGGCACAGGAAAGGAGAGACAGCGGAGTTTCTTTGGCCTCCTGGTGCATTCAACTGAGTTCTCACACGGGCCACCCCACAACAGAGCACACACTAATAATTACTTGCAGTAATTCAAAGGCACGCTCCTTGTTTTCAGTGGCTCAGCGTCTGCAGCACAAAACCACCAAAAGAGGCTGAAGAAGGAAACTTTGGCCTCCTGCCTCATTGTTATCACACAAGATGAGGTCAGAGCAGAGACAGCCAACGGTAAATCTCGTATAGAATCCTCCCTGAACACACTTCTGAAAACTCTGATTATTCTCAGCTTTGCTCTTCAGCTGTGCAATTTATCTCATTTTTATTTTTATTTCAGCTCCAAATGACAGAACATGAGTTTAGATGGCAGAACAACAGCAAAACACATCAGCACATTGTTCATTATTTTCAATTATGACTTTGCACACTCTGTTTGCAACATCCAGTGACGTTTTATCCAAGATGCAAAGAAAAATGATGCGGAATAGGCCTGTTTCCACTATCGGAACTTCTGGGTAATTTTACCAGACCTTAAAGGCATGTGCACGTCTACGCGTCGCCGGGCTGGACCAAAACAAATACGTTCCGAAACACTCGAAAATGACCCAGTGGTTAACTCATGCTGATTGGTTGTGACTCAGTGGGAAATTACATCAGCAGACATCACTAAAACAACCGGCGTTTATAAAAATGGAAGTTGCTGGTGAAGCAGAATTAAAGGAAACCCAAGCAGGCAGCGCTGATTCTAACACGGGAATTGTCACTGCTTTATGGTCTCTACAGAAAACCTTTGCAGCACGTCTTCTGGTCATTGAACGCCACATTTTACATCAGACAGCTGCTCTCCCAGTACCAACATTTGATTCAATTACAGTTTACTTTGACAGAATAAAACTTATTAAGTTATTTATGTCCATGGACGCCTTTAGCCACTGTTCACTGCTGAAACGACCAGGATATGCCAACGTCTCAAAGTTCTGTATGGGTCAATTTTGTATGGAAAATGAACGGCTGAGAGGTCTGAACCAACATATTTTTCCTGTCACCTTCCCTGCTCCTTGAAATTTTCCCGAAACTCCTATATGGCTAATGGCTCCCTTTAGGGACGTCCAGGCTTCTGTGGCAGCTTTCCTCTGTTTTATCAACCACTGTCTGTCCATTTTTCCTACAAGTGACTGATTGATCAAGTAGTTTTATTTTTGTTTTGTTGATTCTTATTCTTAAATGATAATCATACTGAATCATGACAAAAGTACATTTGGTCTCAAAATGTACATTTTCAACGTTTTAATCAGCTAAATAGTGGAATAAGCAAAAGAAGAATCCGCACACTTCAATGTGCGATGTAGGAGTTTGTTGGTCAAGCGTTCGGTCAGACACCTTCATCATCAGGAACAAACAATTGTTTGGTGTGAACCTCCACAATTCCTGATGAAGGTCTCTAACCGAAAGCTTGACCAATAAACTCCTACATCGCAGATTGAAGTGTGCGGATTCTTTATTTTGTTTATTCCATTTTTTGATCCAGCACCTTTCCCAGACGAGCGGTGACTCATTCTAATCAGTTAAATAGTACAAATCTGTCACCTGCTGACCAGTAGCTAATAAGGGAAATATTGGGAGAATGGAAATAACCCAATTGCGACTTCTTTTCAAAAACTGATAATTGATGTGATATGGATTATTCAAATAGAAAATCTCAGGTAAATAAAAATGTAACTGAACCGGAAATGTCTTCAAATCCAGGTATATTTTTCCCCCATTGGTCCGTGCCATTTGTGTGGTTGTTTGATTTGCAAAATACATCACAACTTGATGCTCTTATTCTGAAGAGCCACACTAAAGCGTGTTTTCAGCAGAACAGGAGAAATAACTGCAAAGCCACTGATTGACTGTGTATCAGAGTTATCTCTGTAGTTGTGCTGCTATAGGCTTAGACTGCTGGAGGATACACTGACCACTTTTCACACTCTACTACTTTCTTCTACAATTTGCTCTTTAACTGTATTATTTTCTGCAATTTCAGCTGTTAACTTTATTTTCTCTCTAAGTGTTTTTCTCCCCAGAAGAAGCTACAATGATGTTCTGCTGAGCTGTGGTGGCCTCATGGAGGGGGCCATCGTCTAACACACTGCTGCTAACCACTTAAACATTCTCCCTCTCCTGATAACTTTTTGCTTTCCTTGACGTTGGATGTGCTACTACTAGTTTATCCGTTTAATTATAGATCCACTACGATAAATACAATAAAGTTTATCTCTCACCAAATAGAATATTTACTAAGAAATCACAATATAACTATAGACACATTACTTTGTCTTGTGTGTGTGTGTGTGTGTGTGTGTGTGTGTGTGTGTGTGTGTGTGTGTGTGTGTGTGTGTGTGTGTGTGTGTGTGTGTGTGTGTGTGTGTGTGTGTGTGTGTGTGTGTGTGTGTGTGTGTGTGTGTGTGTGTGTGTGTGTGTGTGTGTGTGTGTGTGCTCTGTCTTCTCCATCCCCAGTGAGTCGTGGAGGATGGCTGCTTGTACTGAGCCAGGATCCTCTGGAGGTTTCTTCCTGTTAAAAGGGAGTTTTCCTCTCCACTGTCGCTTTATGCTTGCTTAGTATGAGGATTGCTGTAAAGTCACTGACACTTGCCACTGATGCAATTTGCCGGGTTCCTTATATAGGAAACATTATTTCTGATTGGCTTAATGAACTGACCTGAATTGGAATGTTTATTATGTGAAGTGCCTTGAGACGACTCTTGTCGTGATTTGGCGCTATATAAATAAAATTTAATTTAATTTAATTTAATATTGACCAAAAATAACCATGAATGTAAGTTTTCCTAATAAAACAGTCTGGTCAGATTCATATCCTCAATAGTAACAGATGTTGTTTGCAACAGAAACTCATAAACCACGTGAAAAGTAAGAAGAGAAGTATTCCAAGAATTTCCCATCACTGAATCCCCAGCTTTCATTTCAGAGATTCCCACATCCCACAGACACTCCACCTCCCTCCTTGCATCCCTTCTGCCCCAATCCCTGCTTTCTGTGATGTGGTTTCAGTCATCTGTCAACACTTTTTTCCCCTCTGTGCACTGAATGAAGTAACAGGGACAAGAACAACACATTTTTTCATCTGAGAAGCCTCCTTCAGCACCCCTGAGGAGTGGAACGGTGGAGACCCTTTGACCTCCAGGTCGGAGAACTCAAATGTAGCATTAAATTATCTGAAAAAGGCAGTTGATGAACATCAACCAGAATCATATTCATAAACAATTGGGTTTCTTCTATGGTCAAATCTAATTCTGCACGAGCAAGAATATTTAATTAGTCCAAATTTCAAATGTTTTTAGAAGAGTTGGAAAGGGCAGCAAAGCATGCATGACTAAAAAAATATTAAAAATAAGTCTGAAATTTACTCTTGAGTGTTCCAATCTGGCAGAATTCCTCGATAACCTCTGGTATCAGTAAGAATATGCAAATACCAAGCATCTAGAATAACTTCCTCTGCAGTTTGAGCTCGTGAAAGGAAACAAATGTCCTCCAAATGATGGTAACTCACTTTAGTGATGATGAGCGGCTCTCCGTGCTCCAGCCCTCCTTTCAGCGTGAACCCCCAAGGCGCGCCCCCGCTCAGCTGGACCTGAATGTGGTTGAAGGAGACGAGCTGGTCAACCGTCTCCATGACTCCGTCCGGGGTTCTGGAGCGCTTCCCTCTCAGTTTACTAGCCAGGCTGGGTGGTTAAGAGCTCAGCGGCGCCGGTAACCGGTCCCACCGTCTCCCCATCACTGTTCTAGCATCAACAACGAATGGATGGTGGTAGGACGGGCCAAGTGGGGAGGAAAGGGGGAGGGAAGAAACTTTCAGTTACCGTCAAGCTATCTGAGGTTAACAGCGTACTTCCGGTCTGAACATAAACAAATACAAGACATTCGAATTGTTTCTCACTATGTTCATCTTTTAAATCATGTCTCGACATACTTATAATGTATTTCTCTGCCTATTTGTGAAAAACGTTTTTACTGCAATGAAAATAAAGCAAAATTATAGCTTTTAGTTTGGTGACTGGAGAGCACACTTCCGGTATTTTTCTTAATTTTTTTTTGACGAAACTAACTGGGAAAACTTCTCCCAAACTTGGTCTATAGCCCCGCCCACTACCCCTAACGTCAGGCTTATCGACAAAACCCGCAACCAATAGGAGAGCTGATTATGAAGACAGCGTCCAATAGAAGAAGGCACGAGAGAAATTCATCAGGCGGCAACTACAACCAAACAAGAGTAGAGGTTAGGTTAGGGCTTCGAGACTTTGGCTTTAGGTCAGACAGATGTTTTACGTTTTTTCCTCTAATTATTCCCTAAAATGTGCATATATCTAATGTTTACATTAAAAAGAAGACTGTCAGCACTAAATCTAAGTTTCAGACCAGCAGTACCAGTTTCTTTATTAATGCCAACATGCAATCTGTCAAACATTTCAAAGTCAGCTTACCTAAACTCCATATTACCCTATAGCTCACTAAAATAATTGACACAAGATGCAGTACATATTGTCCTCATTTCAACTGATCCAATATGTGTGTGAGTCTGCGAGCATTCACTAAAGGTTTCCTGAAAGTGACTTTATGAAAGGGGGTGCTAGCCCTATGGAAATATCCCCTACAGGTTCCTCAAAGATCCAAATGGGGAAAAGGTCACATCTTTAAAGTTATTAGAGTTAACCTTTAGCTTTAGGATGAAAACAAAAAAAAATGTTTTTTAAATTTTTACCATGAAAAATGCTTGGTCGTTTTACACAGGAAGTGCTGCAGCTTGCTAGCCTAGTGAACTAGACCAAATTCTTGCTTATTCTGGCTTGCCAGGCTAGCAGCATGCTGCTGATGTCACATTTAAAATTTGTAAATAAAAACAGAGTCTAATGTATTACTGCTATGCAGAATTAAAATAAATAAATTAAGTTAGCATTTACGTAGACATTTATTAAATTACATTTTTTAATCCAACAACAACTCACTTAGTGTTTGAACCCCATTTGGACTAGCTATTAGCACATCAATTCTGTAGGTAAATTAGTGATGCACCGATATGAAATTTTTGGGTCGATACCGCTATTGAGATCACTGTTGAGGCCGATAACCAATATTTGCCGATAGCGATATGCTGACATTAATGCTTCTAAAATCAACAATTTTGTATAAAATGAAGATGATTAAAGCCAAATTTACTTGTACACACACCACACACATTTACGGTTCTGAGATGATTTCATTCACTGTTCACATGACTAAACAATTACACATCACCCCCCTCACCCTCTGAAAAAGATAAACAAATGGAGACGAGATGGAAAAAACATCGGTTGTTAATATCGGCCCGGTTTTATTTATCGAACCGATGTTGATATGTTAAAAAATGACTAACATCGGCCGAAACTGATATCGATGCCGATATACTGTCCATCCCTAGTATCAATATGTTTTGCCGAACTGACGTCACTCAAAAAGCGGTCTACAGCAGAGTAGATACTTATGAATAACCTTTCCACAGAAACCCAATTGAAGAAATTTGAACTGAACAAAAGTTTCAAGATGTGCAGAATTCCTGCCTCTTAAGAAGAAGAAGAAGAAGAAAATATCATTTCTATAGTGCCTCTCAAGATAAAAATCACGAGGCGCTTCATAAAAACAAAAAAAAAGTTAAAATATAAAAAAGCATTTAGAAAATGTTTAAAAATATATTTAAAATGAGCAAAAATAGGCAAGTCAGGACAGAGCCTTTTTCCAGGTTTTGATCCCATGAAACATTGTAAATGTGTTTCTGCCTGAGTAGTCACGTGGTGTCAGAACATTTCCCACACTCCTTCTGCAGACTAAAGGATTGGAATTATAGATAATGTTTGTTGTGGAATACTAACACATTACAGCACTCTTTAAATGGACATGTGTGCGTGTGTGTGTGTGTGTGTGTGTGTGTGTGTGTGTGTGTGTGTGTGTGTGTGTGTGTGTGTGTGAGAGAGAGAGAGAGAGAGAGAGAGAGAGAGAGAGAGAGAGAGAGAGAGAGAGAGAGAGAGAGAGAGAGAGAGAGAGAGAGAGAGAGAGAGAGAGAGAGAGAGAGAGAGAGAGAGAGAGAGAGAGAGAGAGAGAGAGAGAGAGAGAGAGAGAGAGAGAGAGAGAGAGAGAGAGAGAGAGCACCAGAGATGTGAACAAGTCCAGACATCTCACTTTTCATCAAGACTGCAAAGGTTTTGTTTTGGTTCCATCTTTCTCAAACGATTTGTTATCAGGAGCTCTGAACTATCTTGCTGAGTTGTGACATGAATATACTTTTTTTTTCTAAATATACATAATCTCCCAAAACTCTGGGGCTTCAAATTAGTCCAACTAAGAACAATCATTTCACAC